AGCACAAAATGAATAATGTCAAAAACGGTTAACGTTTTGGCCTAGTTTTGAAATTTAAAGCGAAGCTTCTGTGGAGGCCACACACGACATCGCTAAGTTGGCTAGTCCTCCTGAAGGATGCTGTTGACTGAAGAGAGGGTAAACAAACCCCAGGACAACGGAGTATGCGTACAAACCGGGGTGACTGGATGTGGGAATTGTCCTATCCCGAGCAGCTATCAGAGATAATGGAGGTGGGGCTATGTGAAAAACGCAAGAACAGTGCAGGGCAACTACTGGAGGTTCGAGGTTCTTTCAGGGTATTTACCGGCAGCAAGCCATCATCATAACTAGACAACATTCACACTGTTATGAGCCACCCAATTTCTGAGATACATTGCAAGTCCTGTCAACAGTGGGCTGAGTACGGAAGGTTAACACCTGAAGTGTCTTTTAGTCTTTTAGGGGAATACAAACATATCCCCGCAAGTCAACAAACACTGAACCCAAAATGGTTGCGAGGGGGAAATGGGGGAATGAGCCAAGATTTGTCAGCAAGCCAGCACTCAGTCCACCTAAATGGTAGGGAGGGGGGAATACGGGAGACTTGACGAGGCTGAGTTTTCGTGAAAACTGGTTGGTTGACGGCAAGATTGCAGAATTGCGGGAAGATCGGCTTTGCTGGAAGGAATGGCATAACTCACTCCAGGAAAGAGCCTCTCAACAACAAGCGACTTCAGAAGCCTAAGTCACRACGCAAGATGCAAATTCCAATCAAGCCCAAGAGAAGTCGGATAGCAGAGGTCAATACCTGGAGACCATGGTCAAACCATCCTTCCCGTCCAGATCACTTAAGGACCATGGCAGGGCAGTCACCCAGGAGAAGGATTCAGGACTGGGAAGATGATCCACAGCAGACGAGAAGGCTCAAGAGGACAAAGGATCATCTCAAGATTGGTTACATATGGGGGGTCTCTCTCTAGATATTACGATGATCTGACAGACCAGTACAATGGGGCTGAGAGGAGAGAGAAGGTTAAGGCAAGCTGACAGTCAATCCTCCACCAC